CATGACAATGAAACGATATACGGTAGGATGAATGTAAAACTAATGTTCTCCCATGTAAACTATCACATAATTCACAATAAAACATTAAATAAAAAAAAAAAAAAAGATTTACAGTCTCAGAAACCCCACACAGGGTCACCATAAGTAGTAATCGACTTGATGGCAGTAGATTTGATTTGGGTTATATTGTTGTGAAGTGCCGTCGAGTCGGTTCCGACCCATATCGACCCTGTATAGGGTTTCCGAGGAGCAGCTGGTGAGCTTGAACCGCCGACCTTGCACAGCCGACCTTGCAGTTCAAATGGCCTTGCAGTCTGGCGCATTAACCCACAGCGCCACACCTGGACTCCTTGGGTTATATAGTTGGGGGTAAAACACGCTAAGGTGCTCTGACTGTGGAAGTATTGGGGACTGTTCTTTCTCATAATTGTCAGTATTTTTCAAGTAAAATGAAAAAAACAAGATAATTGTATGAGCAACACTTTCAATTATCCAACCATAAAATTATTCTCTTAAAAAAAAACAAAAACCCAAACCCACTGCCATGGAGCTGATTCCAACTCATAAGGATGCTCTAAGCAAGAGCAGCACTGCCCCCCTCCCCCTAGGGTCTTCCAGACTGTACATCTTTACAGAAGCAGCCTGCCTCAGCTTTCTCCAGTGGAGCCAGTGGTTTTGAACTGTCGACCTTCCTAAATCTAACTCAGGATTCCTCAAACTTGGCAAGACTGACCTTTGGGACTGGATTACTCTTTGAGGTGGTGGGGCTGTCCTTTAACTTGACACTCCTGTTCTAAAGATACTTTTTTGCCAAGTATCTCCCACTTCAACGAGCTCTGGTAGCCTAGTGGTTCGAATGGGGCTGCGAACCGCAAGGTCAGCAGTTCGAAACTACCAGATGTTCCACGGGAGAAAGATGAGGCGCGTTCTGCTCCCGTAAAGATTTACAGCCTCGGAAACCCTGTACAGGGTCACTATGAGTCGGAACTGACTCCACGACACACAGCCACCACCATCTCCCACTTCAAGTGGAAATGATGTTAAAGAGGTGAAGAACGTTTCAAAGGAAATAATGCTCAAATATGGTTGTTGTTGTAAAGGGCAGTCAAATCGGTTCTAAACATTTAAAATCCAGTTATCACATGATAGAAAGTTCGGCATGGTAGAGAAAATGTGCTTTGCCATCTTGCCACCATAAAAAAAAGTTCCCCCAAGAAACAGTGTCTTTAGATACTCAGAGGAGGTGAGAGTCAGCTTGGATCTTTCAAGAAGGAAGCGCCAGGCCGGGAGTATGGCGCATGCCTAGGCCAGGGAGGGCCAGAGAGGGCCCTGCTGGACGCGAGCTCGCCACCCACCACCACCCCCAAACACCTCCAAGGCCAGGAACCTGCCAGAGCACCAAACTAGGGGTGGAGGTGTGGGCTCGTGGGCGCTCACAAGGCCGGGAGACTTAAGGCGCTGACCCTTCCAAGACCAGTGTCCTTAGGTACCCTCGCGGCTCACTCAGGCAGAACCTAGGTCCCGAGTCTCCCGCTCCCCTCCCGCTCTCCCGCAATGCGGGAGCAATGAGAGCACATTCAGCCTCAGCGGCGACCAGGGATACAAGACACGCAGGCCCTACCTCAGCACATTCCTGCCCACACGTCTTGCAGCGAGCACCTCTCTGCCGCCCCACTCGAGCGCACTGGTCCCAAACTCCGAATCTCCCGCCAGCGCACTGCATCCTGGGAGGAGCGGACTGGGGGCCTGGTAGCGCGCAGAGAGAGAGAGGAGCCAGCCTAGCCTGCCAAGAGATGGTTGCTAGGGAGGCTGAAGAGGCGGGGCCTCCAGGGAGTGTTGAGAAACCTCAGGGTCGGCTGTGTTCTCTGGGGCGGAGCTCCGCGCGGGAAGTGCTGGCAGTTCTGCCAATAGAGAGGGCGGGGCTACATGTGCGGGAACGTCGAGCGGCGGAGCTCGAATGAGCAGCGAATGGGGAGCCAGGTTGACGGCCTGGCGCCGCCTCACACCCAGACGGCTGCATTGGATTGGACGGTGTGTCGGCTACTGCGCTCGCCTTCCGTTGTCACGCGACCGCCTCCCCCTCCCGCCCTCCTGTCTATCCCAGGGCCCTCCTGGCCGGTGATGATAGATACTGGCGGCGGCGACAGCACCCTTGAGCACGCCCATGATCGCGACCATGACCGAGGTGAGGAACCAGCCGCCTGACTGCCGGATCCCCTGGCCGTAAAGGCAGCCTCTGATACTCAGAGGCCGGGTGACTGGGGACAGGTGGGCTGGGCTGGGCTGGGCTGGACTGGGTTAAAGGTGAGGTGCAGGTGGTGTCTAAGGGGCCTGTCCTGTCTTCCTTCCAGTCTCAGGCCCAGTGTAAAGCCAAGCTCATCGCAGAAACCCGGCGGAGGTTCGAAGCTGAGTATTTGACAGGTGAGTACCGCGTTGTCAGGGCTGAAGCGGGTGTGCAGTGAGCGTACCCAACTTTGCGGAGGTGTTCGTGGGGGGTCTCTGGATGAGACCCTTTCGACCCTAACAGGGACTGTGCCCTGCACGTTTCCAAGGCTTTTGCCTCGGTAACATGCCATGTACGCTGCTGCTGCTTCAATTTGGCAGGTGGTGTGTTCATTGCTTCCTTGAAAGGTTAAACGTAAGTTGGAAATCAGTGAGTTTGAAGCATCGCCCCTTGTTTCTGGAACTTGCAGACGCTTGTCGGGCACAGGTGCACCTCCCAGTCCAGGGTTCCTCTGCTGGCCTTTCATCCAGCAGCAGTCCAGAAAATGAACCTGGAAACTGCGAGAATACTCTTGACTTAGACTTAATTGGGAATGCAAATTCCTTGGATGTTTTTGCCTAATTCCACTTCATGCAGCCCAGCATGCTACCTACAGAGTAGGCCTCAGCATTGTTGGACTGAGCTCTTATCCTTTCATCTAGCAAGACACCTGTGAGTCCAAAACGGATTTATTGGTTGAACATTCTGTGTCCATATGACACAGATACTTGTGTTGTTATGTACTTAAGTGACTCTTTTACAGATAGCTTAAAAAAAACATCCAGAATGGTTCTTTTAAATACAGAATCAAGAAAGAATGTCCATGTTGCTCAACTGAAAGTTGATTTTAATCCTGGCCCAGTGTTGCAGATGGCTAATGATCCCAAGGTTGGTGGTCAGATTCACTCAGGCACCTTGGAAGAAAAATCTAGTGGTGGTCTACTTCCAAAAGATCTCAGTCACTGACAACCGTATGGACCACAGTTCTACTATGAACCACATGGGGTTACCATCCATAAGTCAGAATCAACTAGACAGTGACTAGCTTTTTGTTTCTTTGCTTTAATCTTGACCCTGCCACTAAATAATTTGTTTTTGTCTACCTTTAAGTCCCTGTTTCCATATCTGTTCAATGGGAATCATGCAGTTGTTGTTGCTAAGTATAGGGTTTCTGAGGAGCAGCTGGTGAGCTTGCAGTTCAAACCTACCTTTGGGCCCAGCGCATTAACCCATAGCACCATTAACCCATAGACATCAAGCTGTCTTAACAGCTTTGCATATGTTGTTGTGTGCCAGCGAGTCTGTTCTGATTCATAGTAACCCTATATAGGGTTTCTGAGGAGTGGCTGGTGGCTTTGAACTGCTGACCTTGCAGTTAACAGTTTAGTGCTTATCCTACAGTGCCACGCCATAGGTTGTTAAAAGCCGTCACATAGCAATGTTCTCTATAGGGTTTCTGAGGAGCAGTTAGTGGGTTTGAACCTCTGATCTTGTAATTAGCAGTCCAGTGTTTATCCTACAGCGCCACATCAGGAGTCCACACCACTTTAAATGAATCTTTTGACTCAGAAGTGAGTTTGGTAACTGGGAAAGGGGTTAAGTTTCAGCATCTAACTAGTACTCAGCCGAGGTTCCCTGGCACTTTCAACTCCCCTACATAGGTAAGGAGTCCTTACAATGCATGAACCTGCCCCATGGGAGAAAGACCTGGCGATTTGTTTCTGTAAAGATCACAGCCAAGAAAACCCAATGGAGCTGTCTATTCTTTCTCAGGGGGTTGCTAAGAGTTGAGTTAGGGCCATCTAACAACAAATTATAGATCAGTTGATGATCTGGGACAAGTAAGGAACTCTTTTCTCGGTAGTCTAGTCAATAATTCAGCTCATGTCTCCTTCCTTTGTGCCCAGACTTTGCACCAGAGGGTTGACAAAAACAAGTGGTTCACTTTTAGCCTGGCCATCTTATTTCTAATAACATAGCTGGATCAAGTAAAGAGATCGTTCGAAAATTGTATAAACTATAAGAAGTGACCCAGAGCTTGACCAAATACTAGTATATTCCCAATTGACTTATGCCTAAGAGAGGGAGCAGAATATAGGCATATAAATTTAGCAATTGACAAGCTCTTGGTCCAACCGTGTTAAGATTGTTTAATGGAGAAAGTGAGATCTAGAGAGTTTTAAGTGATTTGCTCAAAATCCCTGATGTGGCTAGGCCAGAGCCATGACTGGGGACTCCTGACTTGCGCAATAGCAACCTTAGGGTAATACCGTGTCAGATTTAATCAAGTCATGGCTCAGCTAAACCCTCTGGCGCCTTCCCACTGTGTCTCAATAAAACCCTAATTCTTTCTGCAGGCCTGCAGTGCTCTGGCTCTTGCCCACCTCTCCATCCTCAGTTCTTACTATTCCTTACTTACTACCATCTTGGCCAGAGGTTTCCGATTTGACCACTGCCCACAATAGGTACTGTACTATATACATCGCCACTCAGTGTACACCTGCATGTGTTAGCACACTTGCACACATCCTCACACACAACTAAATTACAAGTCCATAAAACAGTCTTTATTCTGAAAGCATGTGATCTTCTTTTATTTTTTTTTTCTATTTGAATTCCTTTCCAAAAATGCAATGATCCACAAAATCGTCATCTTAACCTACAACATGACCCACAGTTTGATAAACACAACTGGCCATGCTGCCCCTTTTATGTTCTTCAGATAGACCAAATCTGTTTCCATCTCAGGACCTTTCCACCTCTTTCTGCCTAGAAGGCTCTGTCCCAGGTATGTGCATGGCTAGGGCTCCCTTTCCTTTGTGGTTTAGCCTTTGCTGGTCGCTCTTTCGTTTGTTTTCTTTCCTTTACAGCTCTGATCATAATCTTTAATTATCTTGTTCATTTGTTTACTTGCCATCATTCATTTCCTCCAAAGCTGTTACCGTTGAGTCAGTTCTAACTGTTGGCGTCCCTATCTATGTGTTACAGACTAGAATAGAGCTCCGTAGGGTTTTCTTGGTGGTCATCTTTACATAAGCACATTGCCAGGACTTTCTTCCGCGGACTTACTGAGTGGGTTTGAATCACCAACCTTCGGGTTAGTAGTCGAATGCAAATCTTTTGCACCACCCAGGGGGCCTAGTCATTTGCCCTAGTAGAATATATGTGGGTTCTGTGGGTATTGAGGCAAGGATTTGGTCTGTATTGTATGTCTCTGCATACCTAACATAGTTCTGAGTACATACTCACTGAACTGCTCCTTAGGGTTTCTGAGACTCTAAATCTGTATAGGAGCAGACATCCTCATTCTTCTTTCTCCTGCTGAGCGATTGGTGGGTTTGAACTGCCAACCCTGCAGTTAGCAGTCCATCTCTTAACCTGTTGCATAACCAGAGCTCCTTTGAATATGCTGCTGCTGCTGCTGTTGTGTGCTGTGGCGTTGGTTCCAACTCACAGCAACCCAGGATAGGGAGCAGAAAGCCTCATCCTTCTCCCACAGAGCAGCTGCTGGATTCAAACTGCTGGCCTGGCAGTTACCAGTCCAATGTATATGCCACTATGCTATTAGGACTCCTTTGAATAAATATTTGTTGTTGTTGTTATGTGCTGTGGAGTCGGTTCCGACTCATAGCGACCCTGTACAGGGTTTCCGAGGCTGTAAATCTTGATGGGAGTGTTGTTAGGTGTCGACTGTTGCAGACCGTGAAGGCCTGGTCAGAGGTTTGAGGCCCCATAGACCCGAGTGTAACAGATCTAGCCACCTGGCAGTTAATAACAAATTATTTTTATTAATTGCAGACATGAAGCCCTTGATAAACACAGATATATGTAATATTTTCCTAAAAGTCAAGACTGTAAAATTCTAAACAGGCAAAGTTCTTCCCTCAGAATTCATTCAAGGTAAATTGGGTGGCTCCCTGGTCTGTTCCAAGGACAATAGGAATGCCCTCCCTAAAGTGTTTCCATGTGCTGCCTATTCACCCAGGCTCCTCTTTTCCTGAAGAACTTGGGCTGGGCAGCTGACACAATGGGAATCCTCCCTTTCTTCCTCCATTTGAGGCTAGGTGCTAAAAGGTATGTTAATTAAGCTTGAGAAACCAAGTTGCGGTCATGAGATTCGAACCTGCGAAGTATGATGTAAAGTTGCCTGAATGTCTGGAAAAGTAAATCTTGTCTTAGTCCCCTCCTAGCTTTGTGTAAAGTACCTCCCCTAAATAAAAGGAAGGCGCAGAAAGAATCCAGGTGCATTACGACTGGCAAGGCGTGCGTTACAGCATGCAAGGGGTACAGTCCAGCCTTGCAACCATACTGCCTGTTTAGCTAAGATGTTTACTATGCAAGATATTACGGCCTTCGTGGCTGATATGTTTGCAATGCAGGATCTGCCTGATGCCAGTCCAGCATTCACTCTGGTTTCGGAGTGTCTCTTTGTCTCTCTCTTTGCATCTCTGTGTCTCTTTTGCTATCTGTGTCGCCACTCGATCTCCCCTCCTCGTGAACCAAACACTTGTGAACAACACAACTATGTCGAGGCAGGTCCCCGGCAGTCGACAAGTCAGTTCCGACTCAAAGTGATCCCCGTGCACAGCAGAAAGAAGCACTGCCCAGTCCTGCGCCAATTTCACAGCTATTACTCTTGAGCCCATGGCTGCTGCCACTGTGCCAATCCATCTTGTTGGAGGTCTTCCTCTTTTTCACTGACCACTTTACCACGCATGATGTCCTTCTTCAATAACAGGTCCTTCCTGATAATATGTCTGAAGTATAAGAGACGAACTGTCTCACCTTCTTGGCTTCTAAGGAGCCTTCTGGCTGTTCTTCTTCCAACATAGATTCATTGGATCTTCTGGCAGTCCAACACCATAACTCATATGCATCAGTTCTTCTATGATTTTCCTTATTCACTGTAAAAACTTTCACATACATATGAGGCAATTAAAAATACCATGGCTTGGGACAGGCACATCTTAGTCCTCAAATTTGTAACATTTTAGTGAGGTAGGTCTTGTGCAGCAGATTTGCCTAGGGCAGTATGTCCTTTGATTTCTTGACTGTTTCCATGAGTAGAGCCAAGCTGAATGAAGTCTTTGACAACTTCAATCGTTTCTCCATTTATCATAATGTTATTTATTGGTCCAGTGGTGAGGATTTTTATTTT